CGACTAGCATAATCTGGACCTGTGTAATCCTGTACAAATTCACTCGCAATCAGATTTATTGAGCATCCGTATACACGAAGGGTATAATAATTCCATTAGGGATTTCATCAGCGAAGCTACCAAGATACGTCTATAAAATAAAATTCGATTGCGTGTTTGTACCGGTCGTTTCTGCGCACTGAAATATTGTTACCGAGATCTAGAATCCGATAAACGCAGGATTACCAGGTATAATTTACCGAAGGAAACTTTAATCCGTGCTTGTATACACAGAACGAGGTACACGCTTGTTCGCGAGTGTCAGCTTGAAACTTCGGATAAACATTAAAGAAATACGAACGGTTCGTAGGAGCGGTAATTAGGAAAAGTTTTTAATCATTACAGAAAGTTGGCTCAAACAGATATATCGTACGCTCGTTGCCAAGAAAACGATAAGCTTATAATTTGTTTACAAGCGGTCCCAAGGAGAGTGCTTTGAGTGCTTTTCACGGCAATTCTTGCGTTCTAACGAGAATGTTGTTGCTTTAATGAAACTTGATGCCGTTTGAAAGATAAAAGCATCCTTGCGATGACGCTTTATCTTCAATTATTCCGAACGTCGTTTCGCGTTTATACGCCCGAGTTTATTCTTCCACGAACGAGAAACTGGTAGTTACTGTAAACGATTATTTCACAGTTTACCGACCGACACCTCGGAATTACACCCCTGAGGGTTGTTTTTCACTTTCATCAACTGCGAGTTTAAAAAGTTACTGAATAGGTCTGATTGAGGGACCTCGAGAAAGGGTAATAGGGAGAATCTTGCGGGTCAAGAAGTGAAAGTTTAAGAAAAACTTGAGAACCCCTTTTCGCGCGAAAATCTCACGTAGGGTGAAAACTATTGAGGCTGCACAACACACGATGAAATGGAGCTCGAGCAATTTCTTGGGTCGAGGAATCTCGCGATGAAACGTGGCGGGCGAGTCGATGGTTGGCGAACGGCCAGCTATCGGATCCCTATTACACACTGCCCATTAATATCGCAATCGCAGACACACGTTCGTGCCTCGAAAATTTAACGCCTCGGGTTCCTGGAACGACAGCCACTGAATAAATTTCGTTACATTATTTAATGACCATAAATCGTCCCCTCTTCCGTGCTACTTCTCGACAGGACTTTTGTACACCAACTTTCGGTTTGTTCTACACCTGGCCGAGTGCCCCGCGACATCTTTATGAGATCGAAGAAATATCTTGTTCACAAGATTTTATTTACTATCGTGTCTATCATTTTGCTTCGCAATTTTAACGAATGTATTTCAGAATATATTTCTACGAAGCCTTCAAGATCATGAGATGATCTGAAACGACAGGCTTTTGATCTTAGACAAAGCGTTCAAACGATCGACAGAGAGAGGATGTTACAACCGAACTTTCGCGTCTGTGACAATTTAGCAGTTCGCTCTGTACGAAAGCTGACATCCGGGTCGTGACGAGTCTTCGTCCTGAAAAAGCTTCCGTCGCAAGACAAATTTCCAGGCACTCGCACGCCTTCCTCTTGTCACGAAAGCGGAGTCGCGCGTACACAGCCCTGTAAACGAGGTCGCTTCCAAGTTTGACGATCGTGTTTCGTGATATCGATAAAACACGCTTACGGATTTCATGGGAAACCTATCTTTTATTCCTCCACTGCACCCTGTTTCACTGGCAATACTCGAAGAAATTTTTTAGTAGAACATGTACCTCGTAATAATTGCAATTTCATCCAAAAAATAAAATTTCTGAGAACTTTCTGAAAAATTCAAAAGTGTGGAACTCCTTGTACTCCTTATAAATTTCTCTCTGGCCATAGAAAGAGACAACGAAGTCGCTCCGTTCAGAGAAAGCTTCTTTTTTACTTTTAACGACGTTATCCTTGCTATAACGACTCCTTTGTTTTCTACCTTACGAGTGTCTACCTTGAGAGTGTCTTTTTGATGCTCTAGCACTCCTACGAGGGGCATTGAAGTCTAAAAAGTTTCGGACACCGTTCTTAGAAAAATTAAAAGTTAGATCTCTTGTATCACTATTCGCGACTTCCAGAAATCGTTGAACTTGCTATTTCCGTGATAAATTAAGAGGAAGAAGAGCTGCATAAATTTAGCCCGAGATATCCGCGACTAGCGCACTGATAATTCTGTCATAAATCCAGCCGCAGGGGTGGCAGAGGGTGCAGGAAGATTTCTGGTAGAATCGTAGGCGAAATCTCGACGTTATCGCGGAACAGGGTGAAACTTTTCATCGGGCCGGGTCATTGGCCCACAATCGAGAGATACTTGGTCGGATAGAGCACGCGATGGCGTTAAGACCGATATTACAGCGTGTTCCACAAGAAAGTAATCCGCGAAACGTTTAATCACCCTTATTAAGCCATTTAAAAATACACCCTCTAATCAGAGCGAGTATCAAACTTACTTTTTAAGCATGACTGCAAATGGTCTGCTCAATCAAAAATACCCTTTGCAAATATTGGAAGACACGAGTTAAATTTAGAACGCATGAAGGTTCTACAAATATTTCCTGTTTCGAATGTCAAGACCTGTCAGAACAGCTTGTCAAAGATTTGACAAGTGGACAGGTGTTGAAGTGACGGATAACCAGCTGGTGAAATAAGTCAAAAACTTGGCAATCGAGATGTCTTGTGAAACAGATTGTAGTGGACGTAGCATGCATTCTCTTGCATATGCATTCGCGTGACTCTCCGGCTGTGTAATAAGTGAATTCAGTCGGCCCGAAAACTTGGCTGACAAACTCGCGAGGGGTTCAGCCGAAGTATGACCGTTTAACGGCACCGGTTTCCCCCGGAGACCCGGTTTTTCGAGAAACAGCATGCAATCGTCGACTGCAGGTTCGCGTGTATTAACCCCTTCGAGCTTGATCACTGATTCAGTGTGTTTATTCGATGTACTTTGCCCCGTGTTTGGATTTAATGCGAACCTTGATGTTTGCCTAATGAGATACGGCTAATCTACGAACGGTAATTGTTTAACCAGTGGACCGGTGCTTTTGGCACGGAATGCTGGCACCGTTTCGGAGATTTATCGTAACGGTTATAATTTTTTATTGAACGAAACGATCTAGACAGTACTGGAGTTCTAAAATTTCTTGTTAGACAGTTATATTTCCTTCTATGTGTTAGAACCGATCGAACAGTCCACGTACAGATATACGGCACATCCGTTTCGCGCATTTATACGTCAGTTGGGCTTGATGGATTCGTGAGAAACGTCACATGAAAATAATGGAGGATCGCGTGGAGGCACGCTCGATTTTTTACAGCGCGAAATTCGAAGACGTATTTCGATGGTCCACGATATCGGTAACCAATAATGGTGATAAAAGACAACGAAGGAAATATAAGGGCTTCATGGAGGCAGCACCGAAATCGATCAAACTTTTGCTGTCCACCCGATGACTAACAAATAGAATCCATCATTATTAACTTCGCATTTGCATTCTTTTTGTACCTAATGCATCATTCTACGCATCTAGAAATATTAAAAGTTAGGATTTGCTTGAAAGTTATAAAGGCGGTCCATCTTTTTGCACGGTGTCTCGTTTCGAGTCTCTATGACAGCAAAGAAGATTAAACTACTTAGAACCGTTTGCTCGAGTTCAGCCGTAAAAAGGTTTATGTCACGACGTGACAGAGAGATAGGACGGTGTAAAAAATGCCTAGGTCGCTCATCGATATCGTAAAACTCACTGGATTCGTTTCGAACGAATACTAACTTTCCGCGCCGGAGACCCATAAACCTTGAGATAAATCCGAGACGATATCTTTTAATCTGTTTCGTCGAAAAGCCTTATTTATACGAACCTCTAAAAAATGTCACTTGAAAGAACCTGAAAGTCGAGACTTACAAATTCGAAAATATAATCATTGCAAATTTAGGAATTTTCAGAGCATCTTAAAAAATTTAAAGTTCTTCAAAGTCACTTAAGCTGTACAAGCAATTACCATAATTACTCTAATTATAGGAACTATTCGAAAAGAGGATATAAATACACCGAGCCGTCGCCGTGCCAATAGTACAATGAAAGGTTCATTGTTCTAGGGTTAAGAAAAGTCGAGTTCAATAAACTTTCGACCGAAACGGTTGAGTTATTGATCTTTTCGTTGCGTCACGTTACCTCTTTTCCACCTGGCTGGCTAACTCGCATTTTCATCACGCAGATCAGTTAAAACCGAAGAAACAAAATCGTTCCACAATATGATTTTGTTGCATTCATGTTTTATTCCGCAGACTTATGCTGATAGCGGGCTTTGTTAGAATCTGATTAATGTAGAAGCACGTGACTAATTTATATTTGCCAAGAGAGTTTGAAACGTGCTCAAATACGCCAGTGAAATATGCCCTGTGCAAAGGATTTTCAAAACGTGGAATAATTTTTACCTCGCTTATGCAAAATTTTTGACCTTTCAGAAATTCTGGTGATTCGATTGCTCTCTAAATTCGGATCTTTTTCTAAATGACCTTAATTAAAACAAATAGGGGTTGGATTTTCAGATTTATTTCTAAAGTCAAATGTACAAGGTCACCCACGCATATTATAGAATTTTTTGCGGGTTTTTTTAATTAACAAAAACAAACGAGAATAAGAAGTCGGGTCACCCAGAATATCTTTTAAGAAATCGCACGATGAATGTGTTTCAGACATTCAAAGAACAAAATAGCGCGTAGTTTGAAAAACTCCAAAGTTTTGTTACAAATGCTGTATACAATGTTTGTATATCGAATTACAGAGCCATAGAACGGTGACCCATTAATTCAGGCTTATAATAAACAAGCAGGCGTTAATTGGCGAAAATGGTCGTTAACCGACTCCACCGCGTTGTCCCGCAATTAACGGTGCCGAAATGGCGTTGGAGTTATCGTGTGAAGTGGTCATAATCGATAATTCTTCCGTCGGCCGACCTAATTCTCGCATTTATGATCATTTTTCATCGCCGCTAACCGCTGCTGTTTTTTCACCGCGTTTCAAGCGCCTAGAAGACGTTTCACCGTGTAGCCGGGGAACGCGTAGATTCCGCAGCCGAATAGCACCAGCAGCAACACGCATATCAGGCAGCATATCACTCTCCATTTGTAATAACGGCAGACCACGAAACGAAAGGCCTTCCACGGATTTCGGAACCACGAAAACGACGTATCCGGTCGGCTATAAATTTAAGGAAACAGGTCTGTTAACGACAGCGACAGGATTGGGGATGGATGATTTGCTAGAACGTAGAATGTAGAATTTAAACAGCTGGTAACTTTGGAAAATTTTACCGAAAGCTTCGAGTTACAATTTAATATACTAGTTTCACATATGTGTTTGTTCTGTTAATCGATATCACACATGTTTTGAAATCGATCACTATGGCCAGCCATTTTGAACAATGACAAACTGTTTACGTAACTTAAAATTGATGAGGCAGTTTCTAATATTATCCGTGTTTTTCATAATTTGTTACTTGAACGAAATCTCCATTTAGTGCATTTGTTCGGTAAAAAATATTCGCTTACGTGTGCGACAAAGATTAACGAAAACAAGATACGCGTTTAATTACGTAATGGTGATTTAACCAATGTGTTTTGGTTTAATTACACCCGGAACGATAATTCCGATTGCAGATCCGTCGGACGTTTGAACTTCATTAAACGTTCAGCGTGAACGAAACGTACATGGGTCAACGTATTTACGAATTTGTTGGTCTCAACGAGTTTCAAATGTTTGTAAATGGATACTTTTGAGCTGGAATTGATGGAAATGTATTCTGGGTAATTAAAATATTGCATGTTGTACTGAATGACTGTTTCAAGTTACCAGATTCCTATGTTATTAAAGTATTACATTCCTAAACACACAAATTCCTAGATTCTCAAATTCTTAGGTTTCCAAAATGTACAAACCCATTTAAAAATTAATGCTTTACAATAGTTTCAGCTGTGTCCATAGATCATCCGACATTTTGGTTATTCAAATAGTTTCCTAAAATTCATCAGTACGAGGATACATTTCGAGTGAACTCGAGCACACCGGACGGAATGATCTGATTAACGAAGCTACTCGTAGTTATACAGATTGACGATCAAAATCGGGAATTAATCCATTTAAGCTCGATGGCCAGCTCTAATTTCATTTGCGGCGGAATATGGTATCGAGCCACGTCTACTTCATGCTCGGTTTTATTTCGATCGTGCTACGGTAACTCCATAGAGAACGTTGAATAAATAATATTATGTTCTTCGAATAGCTGTAAGTCACTTACGAATAATTAAATTTTCACGATTTGCGAGTTCGTTTAGATAAAAGAATTTATATCGACTTCTATCAACTTCAATATTATTTTCTTATAATTATTCAAAATTAGCAAGGGCTTGAAATTCTTCTTTAAAAATTTGAGAGGGTTAATACTTATGAATCGATCGTTATTGTGGTATCAGGTTTACTTTGCTGACGTAGGATTTCGCTTAATTAACGTACTTTGGTGGAGGAAGATTTTGGGGTGGGTCTCTTCCTCTTCCTACCGGTTGCTCGTCCGCTTCATCCCCCTTCAGAACTGACAATTCTAATTCGACTTTGCCCTAAATTATACTTGCTTCAGTTTCAATTATCGAGTAATATTTTTCTACAAAATTATTCGACACATAAAAGTTACACAATTACTTTTAAACCCCTTTTCAATTTTTCAAACAAATTAAATTCAGCAGATCAAAGACCCGTGTCAACGACCAAAACGAATATCCATACTCACCGATTGAACGTAATTTCCGGTCGCGACACCACTAGCAAACGGCCACCAAGCTTTGATCCGTGTCGCTTTAAACAAATCGATGGTCGGCAAGTTCGGATCGAGCAAACTCAGCGTGCAGCTCTTGGCGTTGGAACTTCCTCGTGGCATTCTCGCCAGGTCTAACGTCAGCGCGCCTAAAATCAATTGATCGAATCAATGAACGTTTAATTAACTTCGAGAGATTTTCACCGCACCTAGAAAGTCATCCGAACTGAAGTGGTCGCTGTCCCAAACTTGCAAGTGCAGTTTGCACGGCATTTTCTCCTCGATCTCGTTTCTGGCCAATAGGGACATCTTCCTACGAACAACCATCACCTTCTCGCGTTTCGAGTACATCACTCGAAATACGAACCTCCAGTTGAAGTTTCCCTCTCCGTTTAGGGAGTTGTAGTGGACGTCCGTTTTTTGGTAGTCGTCGTACAGAATCCAACTGTGATCATGAATCAGATAGTTTTACCCTTTTGAAAGTCTATTTCAAAATGGAAGTGATCATACAAAATATCTTGTATAATACAAAATATCTTGTGTGATCACTTAAGTTTTAAGACTCGAGTCTCAAAATGTTAGTCCTTGTACAATAAAGTACATAGTATCATTTCGAATGTAAGGTTCATAAAAAATCTGTGAAGAGGGTCTAGAATATTCTCTTGAGAGTAGAAGGTCTATTTACCGATGCCATTTTCGTACGTACCCTTTCACGTAAATATCGGAGCACTTTTCTCCCGTGAGGAATTGACTTTCAACGAGTGGCACATCCTCGGTATTCCAAACGATCACGCGAATTTCATATTCCTCTGGTACGGGGGCGGTAATGTCTACGGGTGGCTTCGGTGGAAGCTCGTCGAATTGAAACATGTCGATCCAAAGTTCCAATTTGCCCTGAAACGACCGATAAATATTTAGACGGTCGAAACAGACACCCCGTCTGTTGTTCCACGGAAATTCTCTCTAAAAATTTACTCGGTTTGCAACAATTAACTAAAGACAGCGCACATTAAAATACAATAAATTCTTAAAGATGAATATTTGTCGGGTAATAAATCTAACCTGTTCCAGACCGTACTTGGCGACGTTGAAAAGTGGTCTTCTTTCTAGATGTTCCGGCACCAAAGTGCATCCGCAAATGGGAAAATCTTGCCATTGATGAAGAACCATTAACGCCATGCGTTCTTTCCTGTCTGAATAAGAATCATCTATCACCGATAAAGAATGCGTAACTCGTGGGATGAGCTCCAACGATTTATTTCGGAAGACAGACTCGTCTCGTCCTGATCGGTAAAGGCGAATCGTTTCCGTCCGATCTTCACATAATTCTCGTCGAACTCCGGCGCTGGCAGATTATTTTTCTTGCAGAGTTGCTCGAGTATCTGCGTCGGTCTCTCGCGGTCTCTCCAAGCATTATAACCTTCGATATTATACTTGCTCGATATGCCACAGGTGGCTCGATGCCGGCTGTAAAATCGATTTTCCAAGTCGATTTTAGTTTCTCCTATCAGATCGTCGGCCGAGCTTACGTCGTAGTCCCATACTTGTATGGTTAGCAGGTAATCGTGGGGAAATGTGGCTTCTATCTCGAACAGCCTGCAAAAGGATCATTTCCGATGTTCTACATTTATAGATTTTCTACTTCTCTTTTCAAGCTTCCACAAATTCAAAAATCCCGAAAGGCAATTAAATCCGCCCAGTAACTAACAATGAAAGCCGATATTCGTTAACTTTTTAATCCTGAAACGCACATAAAAATTGCACGTATCTAAAAATTTTACAATCTCAATACAGCTGATGAATAAAAGAGTTAAACCTAATCCGTACCTTCCGAAAGTGGGATTCAGCTGGTTAGGCACGTAGTTCTTCTTATCGTTGATGAAAGTCTTGCCAAGTTTGACGCACAAGTAAGGATCAGACTTGCCGCTAAGCGGATCATTAGGCTGCAAATTGATACCTACGAGGAGAATCGATAGTACGATCTCGGTTGAACGCCATGGAACTCACCCTTTAGCACGTACAGCCTAACCAGAAGTCTGACGAGCTCCGCCGGCGGATAATCGTCGCATAAACCGTTAACCGCGTTTCTACCGCTCCGTGTTTTGCACGGTAAGTTATCCGGATGCGGCCAACGGTACACCACTATGTGGCCCTGCGGATGAAAGTCGGATTTTTACGACGCCTCGTATTTCTCTTTAACGACGGCAGTTTAAAGTTTTTCGAGAAACGGATTGAAAGTGTTCGCCGTGGTAATTGGAGGGAAATTATTCGGTCGTGCGACGAGACGCGGAATCCTATTTTCCCGAGATGAAAATAATGTAACGGGACAGAAGACAGCCTGCAATAGTGCCGTTTAATTGTTTGGAAAGCGGACGCTGGCTGTCTGCCAGATGACAGCAACTCGTTGAATAAAGTTTGAAATTAGGAAAGGATTCAGTTATTTCGAATGCAGTTGGGAGGAGAAAAATTGTCGCTTAATGGCACGATCATTAGGCAGTTCATTATTACTCGCTTAGATGCTTAATTTCCCAAATTAATTTTTCAAATTGTAATGCAAGATCCTTTGTGTTAAATTTTTTTATCACATATGTGAGCTATTAAAGTGTATCTAAAGAGCTATTAAAGTCTACTGTTTCTGTAGACTAGGTAACTAGGTAACGTAACAGTTTCGGTATTTTGCAAGCAACTCCGCGGCAAATTCGTCAACAGTTATCGTTGTTTCTCGCAACATTTTAGCAAAACTATTCCGTGCAAATGACAAGTCAGCGGCGAACCTTGAATTTCCCGACATAATTGTCTCTATCGTAAGCAGGATCCCCGGTCTTCTTCCCTCTCCAGAGCTCGAACGTTCTCAGACGATCCTGGAAGCCGGCAAACTCCGGTTGCATCTCCAGTTCCCCGTCGTACACCTGTTTCCCGTCCAATGAGAGACAGCTGAGCTGCTGAAAATTCGCTAAAGCGTCGTACCTTGAACGTCGCCACGAGCTCCTCGGGAATATCCTTGCCTAATTGTCTGCTTTTCTCCTTCTGCAAACGAAAACTTATCCTTACAAGATCCAAAACCCTGATCCGATATTCCTACTTCCAAAGAGGCGTAGTATTTGCTCCACCAATCGAACGAGTCGTCGTCGCGTTTCGATTGTAGCTTCGGTTTTTTCCTTTTCTTTCTTCTCCAGGGGAGCACGACAGAGAGGAGCTTCTTTACAGATCGCAGGATCTTTTGAAACTTCGAGGACTCTTTAATGATCATCTTCTTGTAGGGGATCAATTCTTGACTCTCGGCCTTCGTTGGGTCGTGGTCGGTCGGGAGCGGGACTAAAATAAAAATAGGGAAATGATCTCTTCTATTGATTCAAAATTAAATGAAAATCTATCTGCAGCTAATTCCAGTTTCGTTATAGTATAAACTAGAGATATGCTGGTAAAAAACATTTGTACCGAACCTGATGTGCGAACTTTAATTAACAAACTTCACTGTTACGTGCAGCAAGCATTTCCATGGCGTTATTAACTCTTAAATGAGGAAGTTCCGAATCGATGTAGCTGAGATTAAATGTTTAGTACGCTCGAAACATATGAGCGTTCATTTTTCCGCGTATTTTAATCAAAGACTGAAGAGTGAACTTTGAAATGGAATTTCTCCACTATTCTTACAAGCGAATAGAGACAAATGCACATAGCTTGAGCGAAGATATGCAAATGGCTACAGAAATAATTTATGAGACTTACGTATTGTAGTCGATTGTTTCTTCCACCGAAGTTTTGCAATGAATCCCGACTCGTGTATCTGCTCGTCGTATTCCTCTTCGGTTATTAATTGCTCCAGAAACACGTTAAGAGAAGGCACGATGCAAATCCCAGCGTATTTGAAGCAACCGAATCCTCGCGAGTCGTAAGCTTTTATGATGATGGAAGGATAGTAGATATCGAGCTCTGGCATGTCCTTTGAAAAAGAAAAACCGATGCAACGAATTACCTTCGTTTATCGATATTAATATTACCAAGCTAACGATGATGTGCGGTTCCTCGAAGTTACTAAATCTTTTAACATTCTCCATCACCTCCGATTTGACGTTGACTCCCGCACATTCTATTATAATTCTGGGTCTCGTCACGGGCAAGTAATAAATCTTCTTCATATCGCGCACACCCCAAAATATAACCTCCAGCCTGTAACTCGCCATTTTTGGCCTGATGTCGGTCGGTATGTTATAAATAATTTCCGGCTCCGACGGGTCTATTGGCCTATCCACATTTTCATCGTCCTCCACCTGCAAATATTTTGCAGTCATACTTTATGTGTTTAAAGAAATTTATGGTACGCTTTCATTACATGAAACAAGGTATACACACTCAATTTCATGTACACGTATGTTCAATATGCAAGGAGGAGAAATTGTACACAGATCGTAAATATCGAGGTCGAAATTAATGGGTGCAAAAGATGTTACCGGAAGATGGAAAAGGCTTGCGAGTATCGATTAGTATCGCCTGTCTCACCTCTATGAGCTCGAATGCAGCGAGCACGGAGCCGCTGCAATCCCTTTGCGATTTAAATTTGTACCACTCGAGTTTCGGAGGGAAATCAGGCGGCGAGTAAGTTTCCTCTGCGAGTTTAACTAATGGAATGGCTGTGCATCTTCCGCAGAACTCCTTGATGCCCTGTAAATTTTAGAATCGTATATTTTCGGGTCGGTTCTGATGAGTAATTAGGCATTGATTACGATTCACTAGATATTTCAGAAATCACTCACGCAGATGTCCTGATCGAAAACTTCAAGTAACACCGACGGTGGATTTAATTTGATGTACTCTTTTGCTCCATGCACGGTTCTCGGAGGCAGAATCAGGGTTTGGTCCCAGTAGGGGTCCAAACTTTGCTTTATAACCTAAAAGTAACCATGTAAGGAGTTCAAAGTTAAAATGGATGAAGTTTAACCTGTCATTATCAGAGTCATATTGAAAGAACTGTAAAGTGTTTTACAGCTTAAAAGTTCCCATGTAAATAGTTCAAGATTAAAGTGGATCAAGTTTAACCCCTCACTATCAGAGTCATATTGAAAGAACTATGAAGTGCTTTACAATCTAAAAGTACCTATGTAAATGGAAATAGTTTAAGGTTAAAGTTTGAAAGAACTATGAAGTGCTTTACAATCTAAAAGTACCTATGTAAATGGAAATAGTTTAAGGTTAAAGTTGATCAAGTTTAACCCCTCACTATCAGAGTCATATTGAAAGAACTATGAAGTGCTTTACAATCTAAAAGTACCTATGTAAATGGAAATAGTTTAAGGTTAAAGTTGATCAAGTTTAACCCCTCACTATCAGAGTCATATTGAAAGAACTATGAAGTGCTTTACAATCTAAAAGTACCTATGTAAATGGAAATAGTTTAAGGTTAAAGTTGATCAAGTTTAACCCCTCACTATCAGAGTCATATTGAAAGAACTATGAAGTGCTTTACAATCTAAAAGTACCTATGTAAATGGAAATAGTTTAAGGTTAAAGTTGATCAAGTTTAACCCCTCACTATCAGAGTCATATTGAAAGAACTATGAAGTGCTTTACAATCTAAAAGTACCTATGTAAATGGAAATAGTTTAAGGTTAAAGTTGATCAAGTTTAACCCCTCACTATCAGAGTCATATTGAAAGAACTATGAAGTGCTTTACAATCTAAAAGTACCTATGTAAATGGAAATAGTTTAAGGTTAAAGTTGATCAAGTTTAACCCCTCACTATCAGAGTCATATTGAAAGAACTATGAAGTGCTTTACAATCTAAAAGTACCTATGTAAATGGAAATAGTTTAAGGTTAAAGTTGATCAAGTTTAACCCCTCACTATCAGAGTCATATTGAAAGAACTATGAAGTGCTTTACAATCTAAAAGTACCTATGTAAATGGAAATAGTTTAAGGTTAAAGTTGATCAAGTTTAACCCCTCACTATCAGAGTCATATTGAAAGAACTATGAAGTGCTTTACAATCTAAAAGTACCTATGTAAATGGAAATAGTTCAAAGTTAAAGTGGATCAAGTTTAACCTCTCACTATCATAGTTGGTCATATTGAAAGAACTATGAATTGCTTTACAACCTAAAAGTACCCATGTAAATGAAAATAGTTCAGTTTAACCCCTCACTATCATAGTCACATTGAAAGATCTATGGAGTGTCGATGATAAGAGCATCAAACGTAGAAGCTTATAATAGAGTTGCGGTATAAAGTAGTTGCAATTGTTGGTGAATTATCGATACTCACTCGTGTCGTGGCCGTGTAACCGTGAAACGCAACGCGAACCAGCGGATCCAATAAACCGGATGCATCCATCCCGGGATCAAAGCAACCTTGGAATATATGTGCTCGTAATTGGAATGCCTGGAACGCAAGATGCTATATTCTCTATAAGGTGACACTATTTCGAGAGACGTCTAAGGTTCATCCGTATTTACTGAACATTTATTTCTGAGTTACTGAACTCTGACTTTTCAACTTAAGACTGTATCAGAAAATTAATAGTGGAATTAATAATTGAAGATAGCTACGTTTAACAATGTATTCCCTATTATTGGCTTTAATGGCCCGATGCTCTAAATGTTAGATTTGCTGATCAAAGGATCTGTGCTATTGACGGTATAATTGCAGAGTACCTGTGTAATTGTACTAATTCGGCATTTGAGTTATACAAACCGATGGACTAAATAATTCAAATGGCTCACAAGGAAGCTCGGAATGCTTAAGGAGTTAACCTTAAGACAGAGTTTCCCTAAGGATGTAACCGATTCCACCGTTAAATAACCAGAGAAAAATCCTACAGTTTTCGAAACATACGCGAACGTAATAGGAGAAAGTGCATATTCAATTGCATTTACAAAGGCGTGTTCGCTCGGGGACTTGCATTACTCTTATCACAAACGCGTATCATGTACCATTCGTTTTTCCTCGAATCGTTAACATAATTAAGAATCTCGCATACTCCAAAATATAAAAAATATGTCATTGAAAATGCACCTAATTTGCACCACGCATCTCTCGAATTAATTAGAACTTCGACCTTGGCCCAGAGAACGGTTTGTCATTACCGTGGATCGAGTGTACTCGAAATATTTCGGGAACGAGTCGACGTTCCTCTCGTGATCCACCTTGTATCCCGGCGGAAGCGAGGACCAGCAGGCACCGATGTACTCCGCGGTTCCCAGCCATAGAAAAATCTGCAGCTTGCAGGCTGCATAATCTGCCTCGTCTTCGTCGGACGGATTCTTCAGGAACACGTCCACTTGCCTGCCACACTTGCTCCCTCTCTCTGTCTCCTGTTCTGAATAAATGATCTCCTCTGGCGAGAACCGGGCGTACGCTACTCGCTTCGAGCCAGCCATCATCCAAATGAAAACGTCTGGCAGGCTATGCTGAGGCTGGTAAATTTGTGAAAAGTCGATGTAGCATCCGGAGAGATGAATATGTTCATTTTCGTGAACAGAGATTGATCTAGTCTACTCGTGGCTTTCTTTTGATTAAGGAGCTACCTCAAGAGAGGTGATTTTTCGAATACCTTCAAATTCGCAATTTGTAGGTTCTCGACTTTTATGTGTGGGTTTCTTTTGAGGAGTTAGCTCAAGAGAGGTTTTCGAGATTTAACACCAAATTTGTAGATTCCCGACTTTTTACCTCTCCAATGTGGATTTTGCTAAAGGAGGTTTTTCAAGAGGACTTTGGTTTGAAACTTTACCCAAACTCTGAGAGTTTTGGCAAGTGACTCACGTCTTCCTGAATCTTTTTAAGCTTCCTCAAGTACTGGTACGCGTGCGCCATGGCGATCCTGGTGTAATGGTTGCTCGGAAGATCCCCGTTGATCTTGATCCTCCTCAGGATATCCTCGATCTCCTTACGGCAGAGATTCACGCGATGACGATCCAACTTGGTGGTGCCTCCCTCGTCGTAGTATCGTCCCGTGTCCAGCGTATGCAAATAACGGATGCAATGACTCTTCAGGGCACGAATCGTTTCGTTGTACAGTTTGTAAACGTCCGGTCGTTCCAACATAACCAGACCCTCCAGTCTCTCCAATTTCTGTTCCTGTCGACACAATTAGCGAACCGTTCTATCTCGAACTCGCTTATTTCCCAACTCGCGGGAACTCGGATTTATGAAATATTTCTTTGAAATTGATGGCAAGTTGTGTAACGGTTTCGCGTTAACGGCTTGGAATTTTAACGCGTCATTTATCGAACTTGGGAGTTCTTGGAGTCTGCAGCGCCTTTAAAATTTCAGTGCCACCGGGAATTCGCTGGAGTTGAAACGTCCGCACGAAATTGTTAATACGGCTTGTTAATAACAATCGCTTTGTTCAAGAAGGTTGTAATAGAATATCGATATTGACAAAATTTCGAAAGAGGGTGAGAATATTTTAGTTTATGGGAAGCTTGTTTTTAGCTACTATTGACAAACGCAGAGCTTACAAGAAATCGAACGATGAGAGCCAGGCTGTTACTGTTGTGCATCCTCCAGCCGAGGTTGGGCCACCAAGATCTGACATGCAAGCACGGTTTTCTCGAACCGAGGGGCAGATAATTACATTTGCCATCCAGAGAGCCAGTCATTCGTAACACGGTCCCGCTGTCGAACACAGGCATCCTTCTGTTTCCTGTTGAAAATTAATCGTGTGTTAATCAGGGTAACCGCTTTGTGAACTTTGCTAACCCTTTGCACCCGTTTCTGCTCTCACTGAGCATGTGAACTTGAGAAATTTAGGTAATGAGATCTATTTTTCACCAAATTCCTAAGTTACCGAAGTGCTTCACATTGTTACACAAGTGCAGAGAGTTAAGATTAGAAACTTAGAGAGTACCATCGTTGTCGTCGAAGCACTGGCTATGCGAGAATTGTCTATTACCGGCGTTCCCAAGGCTAACCTCGTAGCTTATCGATTTCCATGAAAATCGTCGATCGATCATGCTCGCATCGTAGAGGACAGCGATCAGGTAATATTCCTCTGTTCTCCATAAGCTTTTCTTTGGGAAAAGAATCATTAGATAGCATTAATGGACGTGGAATCGATACGAGGGCTGGGTTAGAGCGTTAGTTGACAATAGGGGTGATTTCACCCCTTTCATGTCGTAGGCTTACAAAGTTTCAGTGATTTTCGCAATATTAGCTTGGCTTCTTACGATTTGATATTAAATTTTTTGTAGGTCGTGAAATTCATCGTGGATTCTAATTATGTTAATTACTCTGATATTCGGAGAATTGAGTAAGCTGTATCTCGTTTCACATGAGTTAATAAACTTCTTAATTAGTTTTGGACCTTTGGAAAACCTCCCTGCTATTTTGCATCAAGTTTCAACAAAGTTCTATCACGATAAACCGAAGTACTGTGTACGCCTTGTACAGTCACTTTTCTATGTCTCTAAAAAGATTTATTTCAGCGAAGCTTTTAATTAATTTCCGGAAATAACGTTCATTAGAAAATAGTAAACCCACTTGTGCAAAAAAAGCTTCAACAAAGTTTCAAAAGCATCAAATAAGCTCCCTAATTAGTTTCTGGAGATGAAAGCACCTTTTGAAAAATAGTGAACCCCTAATTTTGCTTCGAAAAGTTCCACCCCTAAATTTCGAACGGGTCACGGATTTAACTTCTTTAATTAGCGGTTGACACGTTTTTTTATCGACAGAATCGGAAGCTTAAAATATATCGGATTCCATGTAAAATATGCATGAAATATCCGATTCTTCGATACATTCTAAAATGACTTAATGAAAATGAGGTAACACAATTTTCATCCGCGCTTGTAAAATTGCCAAAACGATAAAGTCCAAGCAGCGGATTGACATTCGCAGAGGAAATTGATAGACGTACCTCGATAATGGGAGGGGTAGGTTCTGTTTCTGCACTGATTCCTGACGACGCTTCTGGGTCATCCATTTCAGTTTTTAGCGAAAGAAGAAGCCTGCCGCGATAAAATGGGAGGCTTGTACACTTGCCGAAACAGCTGTTCCTCTCTGACGATCCAAAACCGTAGAAATGAAGAAACGAGGGGCCGAAAGTTGGCAGGAAACCTGGCGATATGTCGGAACATCTTATATGCGATTCATTTTAGCCACGAGCTTGATAGCTTTTTATAGTCTCGTTATATGACCGATGTCTCTAATTTCTCGAATTCCTAATTTTTGACTAGTAAATTGCTGAAGCTCTATCTAAATTTTCACACGAATTTCCAAATCGAATTGTCAAATTTCTACATCGTTAAGTATCTAAATTTCTACTTTCATAAATTTCCAAATCAACAACTATCAAATTTGTACACTTCCAAATTTCTAACTACCCAAGTTTCCAATTTAATTTTTCTAGAAGACCTCGTAAGAAATAGCTCATTATATTCAATCCGGTCTAGTAGCAAGATTGCTATCGTAATCGTATCCTGATACTCGAATCAAAACGAAGATCCTCCGGTAATTGGACCGGGGCAATAAACGAGCATGTATTCTTCATTTTACGAGAACCCAAGGCGGAGAGGATAAATCGGATCCGATGAAATCGAATCAGAGTTACACAACGTTAGTTGCATTAAACGCGGCCGGACTCTGGGGGAAAGAATTTACAGCCCAAATGGAACAAACAAGCTGGTTAATCAATGTTTCGTTTGCAGCTGCGTGAATTTCTACCATGTTCTCTAATTTTTTCCTGTTGTTTGCGCTTTTACATTTTATTTTATTTAATAATTACCGTATTCGCCAGAGTGTGATATGTGACTCATGTTGAGAATGTAGGAAGCCACCACGCACGTCCGACAACTGTTCACACGGTGTTTAATTGCGATTCGAACGCGCTGACAGAGGGAGGGAAACATTTCTTTGAACGTGATCTTCTCGTTGAATCTCGGAGCATAAGTTTGCCACTCCTCGCTGGTTCGCCCCTAAAAGATTCTACGTTAATTTCTAAAAATTTTTAAACCCTAAAGAAACTCAGAAATATTCTAATTTCTAGAACATCAAACATTTGAAGTATCTTATATTCCAAATAACTTCACCTTCATTCCAGCGAACGATATCTGAACATAGGGATTAATGTTCTGAAAATCATTTTTCACGCAGAGGCTACTCATGTCCGGCAGACCGTCGGCTCGATAAATCGCGAAAATATAGCGAGCACGTTGCCTGAACGGCAGAGACTCGCCGCCAACTGGTAACAAGAGATTCCTGTAATTGTTCGTATCTCGATTAATCGAGCGATACACTCGCAATTTCGCTGGGTCCGGAATCGATTTCGCGTCACACGCGGCACCGGCGTGTAACATTAAAATGGATACCGGAGAACCAGCTACGCTATTTCCCGAGGAACGCAATATGTATGTAGATGAACGGTTACGCGGGCAAATTTGCGACGCTGGATTCACGAAGATTAAAGACGAGGATACGATATGACCGAGGGTTAACGCGATCTTTTATCAAAGACGGGAGCAAAAAACAGCTTTATGGGGTAGTTCACCATTTTCTGAGGTGGACGCAGACGTAAGCTTGAAATTTTATTCCGAGTTATATTGGGGAATGTGGACGCCTCAGGATTAAAATGCAAGGATATAGGTTAAACTCGATAAATAGTGCATCTTCTGAGGAATTCACGCTATATTATCCTGTGAAGATCGTATTAATTCCAAGTTGATATAGGTACATTTTAATCGAGTTTGCAAGTTCTTGTATCGATCTCGAAGACGAGGGATGTAAGTTACGAGATTTATAAGAATTTAACTAATTTATCAGCTATTGCTGATAATCATCGGCTATGATTTCAAATTAGAAATCTAATCGAGTCTCAGTTTCTAAGATTCTTACGTCGACTCGCTTGTATATTTCAAAGTGAAAATTACCCTTCGATATCATCCTCACCCTCCGTTTCAGGATACACTCTCATCTTCTCCCCTTTCACGTTGATTGCAATATTGCATTTGACGTAACCTTTCGGTCCCGCCGCAAGATCCTTTGGATTCGTCAACATCGCCCACTTGTGGTAATATTGGCGATCTATTTAAAACCATTAGCAAATTAATTAGGGTACATGTTGAATACTAACGAACCGACATATCTCATTTATAGAGAAATTAAGTAATTTGTATGCCCCAATAAACCTGTGGTACTTAAAAAAATCACAATTATCTCAATGTATCACATATGGAAATTTCACCTTCTACAAAAAGCCATAATTACCCGGTTGTTCCCAAACAAGCGCAATCTCAAAACTAGTACTCCCATGGAACTTCGATCTTATATGCTGTTTGAGATACACGGCGATCATGATCTTGGTGCTCAAAAGTTCCTCCAGATGGCAAAATAAATCGAAGACGAAATACTGAAAATTGGTGCAATTAAAAAGTAATATTGCAACGCCTTAGTTTGCGAAATTACTTCATTGAAAACTGGGGAGTCGGTTCTCTCTCGAACTACAGTTCTCCTTTTCCGATTTCCCACCTTCACCACGACAGATGGATTCGCATTTTGCGGCAAATATTTCGCCTCTAGAATCGTTATGCAAACTTGATAAGTGCTCGGCCGAAATTTCCTGCGAACCATCGTGTTTAGGCTCGATATTTAATGCACTTCGCATTTGTTCCACAAATTCTTCGAGGTTATCGATGTATAATTAATGTATGAATATTCGATTCGTTCGGTGATCGATAGACTGCATGCATATTCATGTTGTGTAATTTTTGTTTAATAAGGATATTACGAATAGTTACAATTATTATACTTTGATGAAGCTGATATTTATTGTTAATTGTACAAAATGTAATTATTTCCTTGTATTGTAAGATAGGCTAGTTTCGTTTTAAAAATAAACTTGTTTCTAGTGGAACTTTAAACTAATTTTTCACGCTTATCAAAGTGTTAAAGAGAAGATATAAAAATAGATATTTGCATAAACATCCGCAGTTTATTTTTAATAGTACCGATTTTTGGAATGATGTTGCTGGCGCCATCTAATAGAGAACATTGCAACTAAGAAAGCAAAAAAATAGTTTTCATAAAATTACAATTTGACTTGCTGTTAAGATACTTAAAGCAAATAATTATATAATTAAAATGTGTTTTTTAAATATGCAAGTAGTACGATGGGTAATATTGTTCTCTGTTTTACCCCTGTCGAAAGTTCAGTACTCTACTTATATTCCTACTATTTTTTACTGTACGAGAACTCGAGGATCGTACACTAGATGATGCTGACTTTTGCTTTTCCAAAAAAAAAATAATAGTTTTATTTTTTTTTTTAAATAAAAATTCGTAACAAGTCCATGTAACGAAGCGAATAAAAATAATTAATTCTGGTAGATATAAAAGTATAAAGAATAAAAAATAAAGTACTACATTCGTGTAAGAATGTTATAAACAATAAATTGTAACAAACATAATAATTTAACTAATCACTGAAAAATAATAATCTCTAAAAAAATGAGTTAGAACATAATTTTGTATCGCATCTACCTTTAAAAATCGCAAACATGACTATAACAATTCTCTAACAAATAATTATTTAAAAAAAAATAATTATCAAAGCACAAATTAAAATATAATACTTAATAATCATTGTATAACATAAAATCAAAAATTATGGAAACAATAATTTTAAACAAATATATCATTTGTTAATAAAAAATTATGCAATAAACAATTGAACAATGTAAAATTATGTTAAAATTATCGATAACATAACAGAGACTGCATTGGGTAAAATAATTGCATGCCATTGGTTGATTATGATTGGCTATCACAGACAGCCTATCATCGTACTTGAAGAAGGTCGGGAGCGCTCAGTCTTATCTGTAATCGCGCGGAGGTCGGACGTCGCCTGTCAACACTTACCGGTACGACTCAAGGATACAATTTCTTTACTTTGTGTTCATCTCTGTGTTACCTACTGTGCTAATACAAGTGTTTAGTGTGTTTTATTAAATATTTTTTAATAAATACGTGGGTGTATTAATACGATTTATGGTGTGGTTCAACAAGTGTCATGGACTTTAATAGTGCATTCCCTTAAGTGATTGTGCATGTGTATACGGATATACTAGTGTGTTTATGGAGTGGTTATTTAAGTGTTTTGCGTGGTTATTTAATATTTTTACGGGTGTTTTATTGTGATTTATATACTGTTACTGGTGCTTTAGTGTATTTTATGGAATAATTATTTAAGTGTTTTGACATATTATTACTGGTGTTTTATTGTGTTTTAACATACTGTTACTGGTGCTTTAGTGTATTTTATGGAATAATTATTTAAGTGTTTTGACATATTATTACTGGTGTTTTATTGTGTTTTGACATACTGTTACTGGTGCTTTAGTGTATTTTATGGAATGATTATTTAAGTGTTTTAACAAATTGTTACTAGTGCTTTAGTGTATTATGTAGAGTGGTTATTTAAATATTTTTACAAACTTTTACTGGTGCTTTAGTATATTATGTAGAGTGGTTATTTAAACATTTTAACAAACTGTTACTGATGCTTTAGTGTATTTTATGTAGTGGTTATTTAAGTGTCTTGCATACTTGTACAAGTGTTTTAGTGTGTTGTTGCATGTAGTTATTTATGTGTTTCGGTATAAATTTGCAAACGTTTTAACACATTCCATACAATAATTATCCAAGTAATTTGACATAACTTTTCAAATATTTTATCAAGTTTCACTGTATGACTATACGTTTTGATACACGTTTGCAAATTTATTACCGGTGTTTGTAATGTATTGCATGCATGCTCAAAGTCACAAAAACTTATTTACTGTTTGCGTTAAAAAAATGTGTACTTTACTCGAAATGCAAATTGATATACAGTTACTAAATTGTTGTCCTGCTATGATTACAGAAGGCCAACCAATCCAATGGACAAACTACCAAATCCAAAGCAGTCCAAAGCAGTCCAAACCAATCCAAAGCAGTCCAAAGCAGTCCAAACGCAGCTAACAACGCTAAAATGATCGCAGTGGTATCGTTTTGCTCGAATTTTTACGAGCAAAGCCACTCGCGATTTTTATGCCCTCCCAATTAAATTTCGAGATTAAAGATTTTTGCATAACTTCGCGATTACATTTCGAGATTAAAGATTTTTGCATACCTTCGCGATTATATTACGAAATTAGAGATTTTTGCATCCCATCGCGATTACATTTCGAAATTAGAGATTTTTGCATCCCTTCGCGATTACAGTACGAGATTATAGATTTTTGAATCCCTTCGCGATTAAATTACAAAATTAAAAATTTTTGTATCCCTTTACGATTAAATTACGAAATTAAAAATTTTTGTATCCCTTCGCGATTAAATTTCGAGCTTCGAGATTTGTATATCCCTTCGCGATTTTAATTTCCCCGAATTTTTTGTGTTAATTATTTTTCTCTGTTTCAGGAATTGATTTTGAATAAATTGTTTTATTGTTGATTGATTCCAAATTCGAATTTTTCATTGGGTTTTTTTGTTTCTCGATAGGGTTGTTTCACATCTTCTCGTACAATTTTATTGGTTAATAAAATTTTGTATGTTTCAGAATTTATTTTTTGGTAAGTTATTTTCAGTGCATTAACTTCTCAATTTCATATCTAAGTTACAATAATTCCGAGCTGTGGGAGGAAGGGTGGGCTCGGGCGCAGGTTTTTCGTCACGACAAGCGACGAAAAACCTGCGCACATTATAAGTACCTCTTATTCTAATTTGCACTCACCTTTGTCAATTTTTAAACTTACATATTAGACTGTAGTAATAGTTTCTCTCTTTTTCTCAATTTCCCCAAACTTAAAAGAAAGTTCTTCCAACT